CTATCTAAAAATTTTTCAAATCTATATTAGTCAAGCAAAAAATTTCATTTATATCTTTATTAAAAGGTTTAGGATCTGTATACTCCTTCTCTTAAGAGCATATTATATATTTTATTAATTTTTTCTTTCTACATTTTTAAAAACACTATTATTGAGGGCACGATTATCAGATTATAATTATCTATGTAGCGAGGAGAAGAAGACCCAATGAGCTTCCCGCGGTTTAGCCACTGAGCTACAAGATGAGAAATAATTTGAATGTATCTACCTTATTTTTTATTATACTTTATCATACTTTACTGATCTATAATAACTCTAGGTGATAGGTTTCTGAGTTTATATCTTTATCTTTTTTCTTACACTTATTAAAAACACTGCTTTGAAGGTATAATCGTCAAATTATCATTGTCTGCGTAGTGAGGAGAGGAAGACCTGATGAGCTTCCCGCGGTTTAGCCACTGAGCTACGAGATGAGAAATAATTTGAATGTATCCACTTTAAAATTTGTATAAATTTATATATAATTTATAATTTAATCTGATTTTATGGTAAAGAAGTAAAATTTTTATAGCAAATATCACATGATCTAGTGATCAGAATTGAATAATTTTGGTACCATCCAATTTGTCTCAAAGAGACAAATTGGATAGTACTAAAATCGTTCAATTCTGGTTACTAGATCACAAGATATCACAAATTAGAATAAAGGCTAAAAAATTAATACTTTACAAGGACAATTATGATCTAGTAATTCAAATTGAAATATTTTGATACCATTCGATTCGTCTCGTTAAAACAAATCAAATGGTACCAAAATATTTCAATTTGGATTAGTAGATATCAATATATGTCCAATTAACTATTAATTTTTAAAAAGTTAAAAAATTTGACTAACATGCTATCAATAAATTTTTTATTAAGTAAACTGATCTCTATTATTAAGACAATTTTGTTAGTCATTATAAATTATACTTATCTTTAAATTTTTATAAAAATCGGATAATTTTTTACTAATTGATTTTTATAAAATACGTTTCTGTACTAAAACGTTTTTTACAAATACTAATTAATAAAAAATTAACTGATTTTTATAAAAATTTAAAGATAAGTATAATTTATCATGACTAACAAAATTGCCTTAATAATTAAGATTAATTTACTTAATAAAAAAAAATTCGCTGTTAACATGTTACGATTAGTTTTTTATTAAAATTTATAAATAAAAAAAATTGCTAACAAAGGTAGTTTCATCAGTTTCATCTATAGTTGTTAGGCGAAACTGTTTCAAGTAAATGACGAAAGACGAAACCCTAAACTCAGAAAAGATGAAAAGTGATGAAACTCTAATGAAAGATGATACACATATTAGTTGAAGTATGGTTTTTTTTTTTTTTTACAAATGAATGTTTTTATTAGTTTAAATTTAATAAAATGCTTTTTTTTTTTAATTTAGCACGATAAATTAGTTACAAGCATTGATTGGGCACCAGAATCTAATCAATTGGGTTAACTATCAATCTTTTTTACAATTTTTATTATTATAATGGCACTATTTCTTATTAAGTTATGCGCATTTTTAGTTACATGTTCTCAGGATCGTAATGCATATGTTTGGAATTTTGACTTGACCACCAATAAATGGAAGCTAACATTAGTATTGTTGCAAATTAATCGTGCAGCTATATTCGTACGTTGGTCACCTAATGAAAATAAATTTGCTGTAGCGTCTGGTGCACGAAATATAGCTATCTGTTATTTTGATGAAGAAAATGATTGATGGAACAGCAAATACCTTAAAAAACCAATTAGAAGTACAGTACTAAGTCTTAACTGGCATCCAAATAATGTACTTTTGGCAGCTGGTTGTGCTGATTTCAAGGTAATAAATATAACTTGGTTTCAAAATTTTATAATAGATTTTCATAATTTTTATATTAATTTTGTGATATTAGGCGCGTGTTTTCTCCGCGTTTATTAAGGGTGTCGATCAAAAGTAAAAATTTGATAATTTCTGTTATATGCACGAGGTTATTCACAGCTCCTTCTTAGTATTATTTTCTTATTCAAATTCTTAGACCACCCTCATCACCATGGGGTGACAAACTTCTGTTTAATACTATCTATGGTGAATTCTCCAACGATAGTGGTGGTTGGATTCACAGTGTTTCATTTTCACCGAGTGGTGACGCATTAGCTTTTTCAGGTTTATAAAAACTTTATTTAATTATAGTATTTTATTAATGTCATGTTAACGAATTTATGCCCTTTTATAGGTCATGATTCACAAATTTGTATTGCGTACGCGGGTAGTGGAACTCAGAATGTTAGGACAACTGGTTTACCATATTTAAGTTTACTTTGGATTACCGAGGAAAAATTGATCGCCGCCGGCTATGATTGTGTCCCTGTATTGTTTGAAAAACAAGGTCAACAATGGTGAGTAGTAATAATAAAAGTGGCGATATTGATATATTGATTACTGAGATTAATATTTCAATAATAGGAAGTTTTCTAAAGTAATTGATGTGAGTAAGAAAAAGATAGCTACTGAAACGACCGCTTTTAATAGATTTCATGATTGGAATTCAAAAGGAATCTGTGAAGGTAAACCCTCAACGAAAGGCAAAATCCTAGGTAAAAGACGAAACTGACAAAAGACGAAATTTCTTGCAAAATACGAAACCTCTAGAGAAATAGAAACCTTGAAACTTTAATACAAGACGAGGTCCTAACAAGGATAAAAGTCTAAACTATAGTTGGTGAATGAAAGTTTTTATTTTTTATGATGATATATCATATCCAAATTCATAGCCGAATTTACTAATTTTGCCTTAAATTATCGCAATTAAGATTAATTTGGCCAGCTTTAAGATATAGTTTGACCAGCATTATTCCAAGAGAAGTTTAACAGCAGATAAATTACTAGTTAAAAAAATTTCGCTAGCAAATCAGATTTCAAGATCTGTATAACATAAAAAAGCGTAAAAAAAATTAAAATAACTCGTTGCATACTAACAAAAAAAATTTTCTCGTGAAATTTTACTAGAACTATAATCCTTTAAACCAAACATTAACTTACTGGTAGGACCCTAACCTAAACTAATTGCGAAACAATTTTTTTTTTTTTTAATAAGATCACATAGTCAGTGAAATTTTTTTTTAAGTTAGTGATGCAGACTTAGAGAAGTTCAGATATACAGTGTGGGTCAAAAATAATTAGAAATTTTTGCACATGACTTAGATCACATATAACTTTGGTTGAATATCGATATCAAAACTATATTTTACAATGTTATATTTCGTATGTATACTTAAACTTTCCTTAAAATACCAAAACTTACTATCATCACATTTGCTAATATAGAAAGAGTTCGTTCAGCAATTATTAGAGAATTTTTTATTTTCTTATTCATATTTACTTATTTTTTTTAGTTCACGACGGAACGAACTATATGAGCTGAAGTAAGGTATATTCTAAATATACCTAATAAAAAATTATAGTATACCTGTGGAATAAAGGTATCCACAGTTAGAGATAGCAATGGTTACAATCGGCTACGATTTTCATAGTCGATTTTCTAAAAATTGAGATTTTTTATTTTTGAGTTTTTAATTAAAGTTATATACTGTACATCCCATATTATAAGTGGAAAGTACGATATCTTCTCTGGAACTCAGAATTTCAAAATTTGTTAAATCATAACCGGTTATTAACTGCTAGCTAATAACCAGTTATAAATTAACAAATATTGAAATTCTGAGTTCCAGAGTTCTTTCCATTTATAATATGGGATGTACAGTATATAATTCTGAACAACTTTAATTAAAAACTCAAAAATAAAAAATCATCTCAATTTTTAGAAAATCGACTATGAAAATCGTAGCCAATCGTAACCGTTGCCATCCATATTCGCAGTACAAAAGAACTTCATAATTCGAACAAAGTATTTCACTGTTACTATAAAAAAAAAAAAATTAAATTAAGTAGGAAAGTAAGTCATGCTCAAAAATGTTACAAGTATATAAATTCAGTATACTAGCATTATAGGAACTTTAGAAGCTGACTAACAAGGAATATTTAGGTTTAACAGGAACTTTGACATTTGATTTGTCAAATCTTAGGTCCTTAAGTGTCATAACAAACAGTTACATGATATTTGGCCAGCACTTCAATATTTTAAATGTCTCTTACAATACTCCTATTCTGAATGATGATTATAATGAAATACGAATAAAATAGGCTTAGATTTTCAAAAAAAATAGCTAGAACAAGTATTTTTATTTATTGATATATATATTTTAATCCTTCTAGAATATGAGCAAGCATTGGTATAAAGTTTGGTGTCTATTTGGTAGTTTCTTAAAAGACTTTACTAAAAATAAAGTACGGAGCAGAAGCTTAAACGGAGGTATATTGAGTTTATTTAATTTATAAATCAAGAATTTTATGCTATAATCATTTATAATTATATTCTAGAGGTTCCGAAGATACTTAGTAGATATTAGCAATGATGATAAAGATAGGAGTTCAAAATCTACAGACGAATTTATTAAGGCTATTCTTTATAAAAAAAGTTCTTAAATTTATAGATTTGTTATTCGTTAATTTCTGCCTAAATATTATTTAAAAAATTTTTATATCATAAAGAATATGTGAAAAAGTATATACATGAAAATTTGAGTAAATTCGATCAATTTATGATTTTTTAAAAAAATTTTTACTCTTTTTACTTTTGATTAGTATTACAAGATCGTTAAAATAACATATTGCTCTAGTAAAAAAAAAAAAAAAAAATTGTAGTAAATAAAATTTCATATAATTTTTTGCCAATAAACATATATAGGCCGTATCATCACTTCTGATACATCATATTTTTTAAAATAAATTAAAAAGTTTATTAATAATATTAAATCTAATAATTGT